AAAAAAAAAAAAAAAAAAAAAAAAGATTAAGCCTGAAACGACTGTAAACTGCAGAAGCACTTTCTAATTTTCCTAGGAGGGTCTTGATAATGAAAACAGTTCAGACTTGAATGATAAACAGGTCTGTTTCTTCTTAAACAGAACTCCGTCCTCTCCCCACTGAGATACAGAAAACAGAGTCCAGCCACGGGAGAAGACATTTGGATCTAACATCTTTTTTTTTTTGTGCAACCCTTTAGGTGACCCACCCAAAACGAAAGGTGATCAAAACAGCATTTTTGGTTACCTCAGGAGAAACCAATCTGTTGTGAAAGTAACGGGTGATGTTTAAAGTATTTATACTTGGTTAATGAACTAAATCATCTTATTAGGTGCCAAAGCAAAACAAGAGTGCCAAGCTAAATGTTCTGCCTTCCACAGAGTAGGAGGGTTTCCTACCTCCTCATTCATTCACTCATTCATTCATTGATTCAATAAATATCTATTTAGGGCCTGCTCCGTGCCAGGTACCAAAGAAAACAGTGCTGAGCAAAACAGTGCAACACAGCAATGTCCCCATGGTCATGGAGCTTACAGTAGGAGACAGAAACGTTAAACTCAAATAAATATGTAATACTGCCAATTTTTTCTAAGGAGAAAGGGTAACAGAAAGGAACTGATTTAGACTGGGAGTGGTGCAGGGATCAGAAAAGGGCACTGAGAAAAAAGTGACATTGAAGTTGAGAGGCCGTCAGATCGTCACCACTTTGGAAAAGGAAAACGATTTATGGCAAATGACTACAAATGGGATTTGAACTTTGCCTGTCAACAACTGACAGGGTTAAACCTCCCCACTTCCAGTGCATCTGTCTTCACGAGCCTCCCAAGACTGCTGGCTGACCACTGTCTGACTCGCCTACCTAAATCCTAAGACCTGAACACAGAAAGGTCTCACTTCATTATGATTTATTATAATCTACAGTCTTCCTATGCTTGGCCTAGAAACACCCTAAAGTAATCTGCCAGAGGCATGAAAACAGATTGGCTGCCAGCAAGAAAATTACCTGGGCGAGCCAAACATTAGCCCTGGCATTCTCAAGCCCATTGCCCAATAAAGTGCCAGGTCCTCTGGGCAACGTGGCTCCAATACTCCTGGGTCTATACCAGATGGGACCCAGGGGGCCTAACAGTTGGTTGCCTACTTGGAACTGATCTTCGACCAGTAAATCAAGGACTAAATCACCGTTTCCAGTTCCCCAAGCCTGCAGACTTAGAGGATGTGGGAAGTGGCCTTTGAGCATCACCGAGCGGAGAGCTTGCCAGGCTGGAGGAATGCAGGCTGGCAGAGAAGGGGTCAGGGCTGGGAGGAAGAGGGACGCTAAGGGAGGCGGGTCAGGCGCTCCGGACCCGAGGACCGCACGCCAGGCCGGGTACTGCGGCGTTTCCCGCCCCCCCACCACGTCATCCCCCCGCAAAGGCACCCGGCCCCCGGCCGCCCCGAGACCCCGCGATTCCGGCTTCCCCTGCGGCGAGGCCAGGCGGGCACATCAAGCCCTGCGCAGGGCCGGAGCCCACCAGCTCCTGGTACCTGCGTCCCCAACGCAGAGAAAGGCGCGCCGGGGGCGAAAAAATGGCCAAAACTCTCCCCGCCCACCCGAAAAGCCAACCACACCCCCCGCATCCCTCAGCCCCAGCCGCCCCGGGCCGGCCCCCGCGATCCTCCGCCCAAGCCCCCGCGGGGTTCCCGTCGGCGCCGCTCGGGCTCGGCAGGGACGCGGGCGCGAGTGGGAGTGAATGGGGGGTGCGCGACGCAGGCAGGGTGCCCACCGCGGTGTCACCCGCTGGGGCCCTGCTCCCGGGGCGCCCTCCTCGGCTCCGCGGTCCCGGGACAGGCGCGCCGCCCCCAGGCTGAGGTGGGCTCACCCATTGGCGTCGAGCCGGGCCTGGCCGCCGAGGCAGCGTGAAAGTTAGCGGAGGCGGACGCGGGGGTCGGGGCGCTGGGACCCGGGCGCGGGAATCGGGGAGCCGGGATGTGGGCGCAGGGATAGGGACGCGGCGGCGTCTGGGCCGGCTTCTTTCTTAGTAGCGGCGGCCGCGGCGGCTCAGCGCCGCCCGCTGCTGCCTCTGCTGCTGCTGCCGCTGCTGGCCCGGGGCGACTCCTGCTGCTGCTGCATCGCGGCCCGCTGCGCCCGGCTGCGCCGGGTTTCCGGCTCCCCGC